AATAGAAGTATACAGTAGTACACTTTTGTGTCTGGCGTCTTTTTATTTTATTTTATTTTATTTTATATTTTAAGATGGAGTCTCACTCTGTCGCCCAGGCTAGAGTGCAGTGCCATCTCGGCTCACTGCAACCTCTGCCCCCTGGATTCCAGCAATTCTCCTGCGTCAGCCTCCTGGGTAGATGGGATTGCAGGTGCCTACTACTTCACTTGGCTAATTTTTGTATTTTTAGTAGAGATGGGGTTTCGACATGTTGGCCAGGCTGGTCTTAAACTCCTGACCTCAGGTCATCCACCTGCCTTCGTCTCCCAAGGTGCTGGTATTACAGACATGAGCTACCGTGCCCAACAGTGTCTTTTTTCTTTCTGAATATAATGTTTTTTTTAGATTCATCCATGTTATGTGAATCAGTAGTTCACTCTTTTTTTTATTGCTGAATAGTATTCCATTATATGAATATACCACGATTTGTTTATCCATTCATTTGTTGATGGACAATTGGATGAATTTCAGTTTGGGAAAATATTAATAAAGCTGCTATGAATGTTCACGTACAAATCTTTTATTTATTTATTTTTGAGACAGAGTCTCACTCTGTTGTTGAGGCTGGAGTGCAGTGGCATGATCTCGGCCCACTGCAACCTCCCCCTCCCAGGTTCAAGCAATTCTCCTGCCTCAGCCTCTGGAGTAGCTAGGACTACAGGGATGCAGCACCATGCCTGGCTAGTTCTTTGGTATTTTTCAGTAGAAATGGGTTTTCACCATGCTGGCCAGGGTGGTCTCGAACTCCTGACCTCAGGTGATCCACCCGCCTCAGCCTCCCAAAGTGCTGGGATTTACAGGCATGAGCCACTGCACCCGGCCACAAATCTTTTTGTGGGCATTTCATTTATCTTGAGTAAACATCTGAGATCAAATTGCTGGGTCAGGACAAATGACCATTTTGAGGAAACATTGTTAAGAGGATCAAGGAAAAAAGGCCCTGTATGAGAATGGTGTAAGTAGGAAGCCATAACAGTGTCTCCTGCATCTTCAGCATTCTTCAGAGACAGAAAAGAGACTAGAGTGAGCGGGCAGTAGGTAGATAAAGATAAGAGTCACAGGCTTATAGAGGAGGAGTTCTTCAGAAAGTTTTAGCCTACTGGCATGCAAATTCATGTTATAACAATTGATAAGCTAATTTTATTTGTATAAGTTCTTTGTATCTGCACAACAGTGCCATGGTGTAAGCAGAGCACATATTCCAGTATTGCTTTTATAAATGAGAAAACTAGGCCGGGCACGGTGGCTCATGCCTGTAATCCTAGCGCTTTGGGAGGCTGAGGCGGGCAGATCACCTGAGGTCAGGAGTTCAAGACTAGCCTGGCCAACATGGTGAAACCCCATCTCTACTAAAAATATAAAATTAGCCAGGTGTGGTGGCATGTACCTGTAATCCCAGCTACTTGGGAGCATGAGGCAGGAAAATCACTTGAACCCAGGAGGCAGAGGTTTCAGTGAGCCATGATCCCACTCCAGCCTGGGGAGAAAGAGCCAAACTCCACCTCAAAAATAAAATAAAATTTTAAAAAATAAAATAAATGAGAAAACAAAAGCTCAGAGAAGTCAGAGTGACTTGCCCAAGGTCCCACAGCTGGGTCTGAGCTCAGACTTCAAACAGGGAATTTCTTGACCTGAGTCCTAGTTCGAACACCCGCTAGCTGTAGAGTCTAAGACAAACTCTTAACCTCTCTGGAGTTCTGTTTTCTTAACTATACAGTGTGTGTAATAATAGTTCCTCCCTCAGATACTGAGAAACATAATTGAGATAACAGTTGAGTTATATGCTTGGCACATAGTAGGAGTACAATAAATATTAGTTGAGTCTGAATCTAAAGTAGATAACTGATCTTGGCTGAAGAAAATATTAGTTAACGACTGGGCATGGTGGCTCATGCCTGTAATCCCAGCACTTTGGGAGGCTGAGGCGGGCAGATCATGAGGTCAGGAGTTTGAGACCAGCCTGGCCAACATGATGAAACTCTGTCTCTACTAAAAATAAAAAAATTATCCAGGCATGGTGGTGTGGCCTGTAGTCCCAACTACTTGGGAGGCTGAGGCAGAAGAATTGCTTGAACCCAGGAGGCCGAGGTTGCAGTGAGCTGAGATCGCGCCATTGCACTCCTAGCTCTGGGCAACAGAGCAAGACTCCATCTTGGAAAAGAAAAAAAAAGAAAAGAAAATATTAGTTAACTAGCTAATAATATATCAGGTATGATGGTGGCACGTGTGATAAGATTTAGTGTCACAGTCATGTTCCCTCTCTTTGGTGTGTTCAGATTCCCACTTGGAGGGGAACCCAGCAAAGGAAAGTAGGAAACCGCCACAGTGGACTTTGAGGACTCTGCCCCTTCCTAGTTCTCTTTCCCTCTGTCTTCCTCTCCCCTCTTGTATCTCACAGTTTGGGCCCAATGAAATGTGCTTCTGCTTACAAAAATACTGGAGGCTTCTGTCTGTAATATAAATAACTTACATAAAGAGCCAGAGAAAGATAGTAACCTAATACCCTTTTTTGCTGCTGAGTTCTTTATGAAAATAATTGCAGTTCTCTAAATTCCCCTCTGAGACAGTATACAATACCAGTACCAGGTATTCTAGGTCACAGTTACCTGAAAAGCGTGTTGCATTAGGCATACTCCATCCTCCTAGTCCAGTTTGTTTCAGTCTTGGTTGTGGGCTTATCAGCAGCTCCGAGTCTACTAACAGCCCAAATGGTTGCTGATAATTGTTCATCAGGTTGAATTTCACCCTGCCAACCATCTCTTTTCTTTTTTGCTAATGTCAGTTCTCAGCCTGATTATAATATATTTGAGTCATGATATAGCGAGCTCTGGAGAAACAAGAAGTAACCAGCTCTCGTTCTCATTATACATACTTGAGTATATAGCATTTTAAATATTAAAAACCCCTCCTAATAGGAAAGATCCCTTTCAATAACAGTTTTGTTGCCAGAAATGTCATTAAGACATATTATGCACCAGGTGCGGTGGCACATACCTATAATCCCAGCATTTTGGGAGGCTGACGCAGGTGGATCACGAGGTCAGGAGTTCAAGACCAGCCTGGCCAACATGGTGAAACCCCGTCTCTTAAAAAAAAAAAAAGACATATTATGCATATTTTCTCTCACTTAGCTTAAAGGGATATTTTCTTTTTTTTTTTGAAACGGAGTTTCGCTCGTTACCCAGGCTGGAGTGCCATGGCGCAATCTCGGCTCACTGCAACCTCCGTCTCCTGGGTTCAAGCAATTCTTCTGCCTCAGCCTCCCGAGTAGCTGGGACTACAGGCGTGCACCACCATGCCCAGCTAATTTTGTATTTTTAGTAGAAACAGGGTTTCACCATGTTGACCAGGATGGTCTCGATCTCTAGACCTCGTGATCCATCCATCTCGGCCTCCCAAAGTGCTGGGATTATAGGCGTAAGCCACCGCGCCTGGCCAAGGAATATTTTCTTTCTTTTCTTTTCTTATTTTTTTAATGGAGTCTCACTCTGTCACCCAGGCTGGAATTCAGCGGCTCAATCTCAGCTCACTGCAACCTCCACTTCCCAGGTTCAAGCAATTCTCCTGCCTCAGCCTCCCAAGTAGCTGGGATTACAGGCACATGACACCATGCTCAGCTAATTTTTGTAGTTTTCGTAGAGACAGGGTTTCATCATGTCAGGCTGGTCTCAAACTCCTGACCTCAGGTAAGCCACCTACCTCAGCCTCCTAAAGCACTAAGATTATAGGCATGAGCCACCGCACCCAGCCTAAAGGGATGTTTTCTACCTCATTTGCCCCAGTCTCCCATCTCAATCTTTAAAGAGTATGGCCTGAGATTTGTTGGCGCCTTAAATCTCAGCAAGAATGCTTCCCAGTTCCTTCTGATAAATTCTGCCCTATAATTCAGAGCCTACCCATGCCTTAGCAACCAAGAGTTTATACCTTTCCTGCCTTGGATAGGTCTAAAGAACAACAGCTCCATAGAGAGAACAACTGCCACTAAATCATTTTGAGTTTAGGGGCATAAAAGTCACGTTTATGAGCCCGAGTTTTCTTAACATGGCATGCCCTTTCATAGGGCTGGTTTGAGCATCTATAACGATAATATTCGGGCCAGGTGCAGTGGCTCATGCCTGTAATCTCAGCATTTTGGGAGGCCAAGGCGGGCGGATCACTTGAGGTCAGGAGTTTGAGACAAGCCTGCCCAACATGGTGAGACTCCTGTCTCTACCAAAAATACAGAAATTAGCTGGGTATGGCAGCCTGCACTTGTAGTACCAGCTGCTTGGGAGGCTGAGGCACGATAGTCGCTTGAATCCAGGAAGCAGAGATTGCAATGAGCCAAGATTGCACCACTCCACTCCAGCCTGGGCGAAAGAATGAGTCCGTCTTAAAAATAATAATAAAAAAAAAGATGGCGGGGTGCAGTGGCTCATGCCTGTAATCCCAGCACTTTGGGAGGCCAAGGTAAGCGGACCACCTGAGGCAGACCAACATGGAGAAACGCCGTCTCCACTGAAAATACAAAATTAGAGGCCGGGCGTGGTGGCTCACGCCTGTAATCCAAGCACTTTGGAGGCCAAGGCGGGCGGATCACCTGAGGTCGGGAGTTCAAGACCAGCCTGACCAACATGGTGAAACCTGTCTTTTAAATAAATAAATAAAAATAAAAATAAACAAATACAAAATTAGCCTGGCATAGTGGCACATGCCCGTAATCCCAGCTACTAGGAAGGCTGAGGCCGGAAAATCACTTGAACCCGGGAGATAGAGTTTGCAGTGAGCCGAGATCACGCCATTGCACTCCAGCCTGGGCAACAAGAGCAAAACTCCGTCTCCAAAAAAAAAAGAGGTCGCCCTAAGGGAATTAGATTTTTGCTTCAGAATGTACAGCTGAAGAGCAAAGCTGCAGCCTGCAACATTTGCCCACAAGTCTTCCTGAGAGGCATGATGAAGAGCTGTGCTTTCTTCTGCAGACTGATGACAACAATGGAGACTTGGACCCAGGAGTCTTGCTGACAGCTCAGACTATCACATCTGAGACCACAAGCAGCACCACCACAACTCAGATTACCAAGGTAACAGACAAGCTAGAACCTCCTTATGGAATCCAGGGGAAGGCTGAGTTTGCTGCCACCTTTCTGCAAGAAGGACCCTAGTCCATAAGCAAAGATTTTCAGCTCCATCCCTAGTAAGCCACATTATTCAAAGAGTTCTAGATAGAAGGGCCCTACTGCCTTCCCCAGCAATAAATCTAAGGCAATACCTCAAGAGTATCCCTGACTACTTAGTAGTCTCTTAAAGGCAGGTATGGTTGTTCTCTTTACACATCTGTCTGTCTGTCTTGTCAGTGAGTCCCCTATCTGGCTGTGGAAGTAAGTTTAAAAAATCAACCTGGCCGGGCACAGTGGCTCACGCCTGTAACCCCAGCACTTTGAGAGGCCAGGGCGGGTGGATCACCTGAGATCAGGAGAACAAGACTAGCCTGACCAATATGGTGAAACCCCGTCTACTAAAAACAGAAAAATTAGCTGGGCATAGTGTCATGCACCTGTAGTCCCAGCTACTCGGCAGGCTGAGGCAGAAGAATTGCTTGAACCCAGGAGGCAGAAATTGCAGTGAGCCAAGATTGCACCACTGCACCCCAGCCTAGGCAACAGAACAAGACTCCATCTCAAAAAAAAAAAAAAAAAAATTCAGCTTAAGGGGCCAGGTGTGGTGTAATTACACCTGTAGTCCCAGTATTTTTCGAGGCCGAGACAGGTGGATCCCTTTAGCCCAGGAGTTTGAGACTAGCCTGGGCAACATAGTGAAACCTCATCTGTACAAAAAGAAATTAAAAAAAAAAAAAAATTAGCTGGGCATAGTGGTGCATGCCTGTGGTCCTAGCTACATGGGAGGCTGAGATGGGAGGATCACTTGAGCCCAGGGTGTCGAGGCTTCATTGAGCTGTGATCATGCCACTGCACTCCAGCCTGAGTGACAGAGCGAGACCCTGTCTCTAAAAAACAAACAAGAAAATTCAGCTTAAGGGAAATTATTGTTGGTATTTTTATACAGCCATATTTTCCAAGCCCAAAATCAGAACTCTTGGTCTGAGGAAGGATTTTTACAGCATTCCAGGGACAAAGCCATGGGAACTTGTTTGGATGCTGAAATATTGGAATTATTAGAATATAGTTTATAGGAAGCAAGAGAGAGAAAATATCTAAAATTGGAACTACCCCCAGAAAATCAGAGGCAATCCATGTTTGCTGTAGCACTAGAGGAAAATACGTTCTTTTATAGGTAAGAAATATAGCTTCTTTAGCAAGCTCTGTCATCAACACACAGATGACTGGAAACCAGTTAATGTGCCTAGACCTTGGTTTTCCTCATCTATCAGAAAGGGAAATCTACCCACTCTCAGGAGATTATGTGAAGACCCTTTGACATCAATAATATGACAATGCTTTAAAATAAAAGAGCCGGCCAGGCGCGGTGGCTCAAGCCTGTAATCCCAGCACTTTGGGAGCCCGGGGCGGGTGGATCACGAGGTCAAGAGATCAAGACCATCCTGGTCAACATGGTGAAACCCCGTCTCTACTAAAAACTACAAAAAATTAGCTGGGCATGGTGGCGTGTGCCTGTAATCCCAGCTACTGAGGAGGCTGAGGCAGGAGAATTGCCTGAACCCAGGAGGCGGAGGTTGCAGTGAGCCGAGATCGCGCCATTGCACTCCAGCCTGGGTAACAAGAGCGAAACTCCGTCTCAAAAAAAAAAAAATAAATAAATAAAATAAAATAAAATAAAATAAAAGAGCCTGATTATAAGATGTGTGACATATTTGTTCATAGCCTTCAGATTTTTTTTCCTCTTGAAAATGATCAAATAGGCTGGGCAAGGTGGCTCATCCCTGTAATCCTGACACTTTGGGAGGCCAAGGCAGGCGGATCACCTGAGGTCAGAAGTTCGAGACCAGCCTGCCCGACATAGCGAAACCTATACTAAAAATATTAAAATTATCTGGTCGTGGTGGCGCATACCTGTAATCCCAGCTACTTGTGAGACTGAGGCTGGAGAATCGCTTGAGCCTAGAAGGTAGAGGTTACAGTGAGCTGAGATCACACCACTGCACTCCAGCCTGGGTGACAGAGCGAGACTCTGTCTCAAGAAAGAAAGAGAGAAGGGAGGGAGGGAGGGAGGGAGGGAAAGAAAAGAAAAGAAAAGAATCAATTAAAATGTATAGGATCAGTATCCGTACTCTAAAACAGAAATGTGTAAGAGAAGAGCACAGAGTCTATTTTGTTTGCTTGCCAGATTTCTGTGGTATTCAAGAGGAGGAAAAAGGAGAAAGTAAATAGAGAACTGTAACTTTCTGTTTACTTAATAAAGATTTCAGTAATCCAGGCTGGGTGCAGTGGCTCATGCCTGTAATCCCAGCACTTTGGGAGGCCGAGGCAGGTGGATCATGAGGTCAGGAGATCAAGACCGTCCTGGCCAACATGGTAAAACCCTGTCTCTATTAAAAGTACAAAAATTAGCTGGGTGTGGTGGTGTGTGACTGTAGTCCCAGCTACTCAGGAGGTTGAGGCAGGAGAATAGCTTAAACCTGGGAGGCAGAGGTTGCGTGGAGCTACTGCAGTCCAGCTAGTGAGAGTAAGACTCCATCTCAAAAAAAAAAAAAGGCTGTCCTATGCAGTACACAGCAGAAGATTAAAATTTGGGGTTTCGCGCAGTGGCTCGTGCCTGTAATCCCAGCACTTTGGGAGGCTGAAACAGGTGGATCATGTTCAAGACCAGCCTGGCCAGCATGGTGAAACTCCATCTCTACTAAAGATCCAAAAAATTAGCTGGGCGTGGTGGCACGAGCATGTAATCCCAGCTACTCCGCAGGCTGAGGCTTGAATCGGGGAGGCAGAGATTGCAGTGAGCTGAGATAGCACCATTTCACTCCAGCCTGGGTGACAGGGTAAGCATTGTCTCAGAAGAAAATAAAAATAAATAAAATAAAATAAAATTTGGAGTTGAGTTTTCAGAATAATCTTTGCTGTTTCTTTTTCCTTTTTTGTTTGTTAATAGAGATAAGGTTTCACTATGTTGCCCAGGCTGGTCTCGAACTCCTGGCCACAAGCATTCCTTCTAGCTCAACCTCCCAAAGTGTTGGAATTACAAGTGTCAACTACTAAACCTGGCCTCTTTTTCTTTTTTTTTTTTTTTTTTTAATTCTTGTTATATTGCTGATCTTATATGACATCCTCTCTTTGGTTCCAGACTGTAAAAGGTGGGATATCAGAGACGCGTATCGAAAAGAGAATTGTGATCACAGGAGATGCTGATATTGACCATGATCAGGTGGGAATGTTGAGGAGATCTGGGCCTGGGAGGGGTCCCTGGGCAGGAAGATCGATGAATACAGGAGCTTGTTGGCCATCTTCATCTCTAAAAAGCCTCTTTGGCCACTCTAGCTCTTAATTGAGAAGAAAGACAGATAATCAAAGTAAGAGGCCTGTGGGATGGAGTCCACAGATTGAGGAACCTGGAATGTAGCAGAAAGAACATGAGCTTTGGATTCCAAAACTTGCATTCAAATGCTGGTTCTTACTATATTCTAGGTGTTAATTCTCTGGGCCTCCATTCTTCACCTGTAAGATGGAGATGATAGTATCTGCCTCTCAGGGTCGTTGTGAGAATCAGGTGAAATACTGGATGTACAGCTGGTGGCACATGGTGAGCTCAGCTAAAAGGAGCTATTGTTATTCTGGAGGTAAAGATACCTGAACTTATGCTAGATAACATCAAAATAAAGGGAAGTATGACCCTACCCTTAGAGAGCTGTGATAGCTGAGAAGAGGCAAGCCGAGCATAGTGTGATGGACAAGACACCAGCAGACTCAAAACTTGTTTTCTGTCCTACATCTCTAACTTGCTGTGTGACCTTGGGCAAATCACTTTACTGCTGATTTTTTTCTCCTCTCCTAAAAGAGAGTTGGTTGATCTAGATAATTTCTGGGCCCTTCTGAGTGTTAAAATCCTATATTTTTATGTTAATTGGGTGCTAATTGTGTGCTTCAAGCAATTAGCAAATAATAAGGTCAGGATTAATGTTCCCAATTCTCTGCTGGGTGAGGTTAGAACAGTAAAGCTGCAGAGAAGAGTGGGTGGAAGAGACTGCATGCAAATTTTTCTGGAATCATTGACAGGTTGCTAGAGCAGTAATTCTGTGGCCTTTTTATGCTGATATGCTGAGTGCCCTTAAAAAAAGAAAAACTGAGCTACAGTGCTGGCAGTTCCCTGGGAGGCAGGGTTGAGACTTACAGCTGAGAATAGCCAGCACAGGGTCCCAGAAACAAGGCCGTAAAGTCTAAGTATCTTGCAGCCTGTTGGCCCAGCTCAGTGAGTCACGCTGCTGCATTACAAGCCTGCACCCACCCACTCAGTCTGATGTGATCTGAGCCCCTGCTGTGTGCTCAGTCTGCACTAGACAGCAAAAGCAATGGGGTGAAAGGTGTTTGAGGTTTGGAGTGAGACAGACCTGGGCTGAATCCTGACTCCAGGACCTAACTGGTTGTATGCCCTTTACCAACTTAATATTACTAATCTGAGCTCTAGTTTCACTGTCTGTAAAATAAGGATGATCACAGGTTTCTTCCAGGGTCATAAGGCCCAAGCACACTTGATAGCTCAGAGAGATGCTCCAGTGTCCCTCAGTTCTCCTAGGTACTGAAGGTGCGTGGAAGGGGTAAGCTATGGTACACTCTGGCTGGGGAGGGAGGCACTTTAAGAACTGTTAAGGAGGCTGGGCGTGGTGGTTCACACCTGTAATCCCAGTACTTTGGGAGGCCTAGGTGGGCACATCACTTGAGGTCAGCAGTTCGAGACCAGCCTGGATAACATGGTGAAACCCCATTTCTACTAAAAAAAAAAAAATACAAAAAATTAGCCAGGCGTGGTGGTGGGCACCTGTAATCCCTGCTACTCGGGAGGCTGAGGCAGGAGAATCACTTGAACCTGGGAGGTGGAGGTTGCAGTGGGCCGAGATTGTGCCACTGCACTCCAGCTTGGGCAACAAGAGAGAAACTCCGTCTCAAAAACAAAAGAACTGTTAAGGAGAAGCAGTGGGGAGCTGCAGGCATTCATAGAGAGGTGGGCGGAGGCATAGTCACCAAAGAGTAGGCTTGAGCTGGGCCTGAGGTGTGAGCAGATGGGTTCGGCGAACAGGATCAGGGAGGATGAGCAGGGCCCGTAGAGGTGCTAGTGCTAAGAATGCTGTTCATGGAGCAAGGAGAACAGAAGAGTGTTTTCTTTCTTCCCTTGCCCCTTCTGGAGATGGTTCTTTTGTTTGTTTGTTTTTTTGAGGCGGAGCACTCTGTCACTCAGGCTGGAGTGCAGTGGTACGATCTCGGCTCACTACAACCTCTGCCTCCCAGGTTCTAAGTGATTCTCCTGCCTCAGCCTCCTGAGTAGCTGGGATTATAGGCACATGCCACCATGCCTGGCTAATTTTGTATTTTTGGTAGAGATGGGGTTTCACCATGTTGGTCAGGCTGGCCTCAAACTCCTAACCTTGTGATCCGCCTGCCTCAGCCTCCCAAAGTGCTGGGATTACAGGCGTGAGTGACCACGCCCAGCCTAGAGATAGTTCTGAAGAGCCAGGGTGAGTAGTCAGCCGGTCAGTTCTAGCTGGGTCCTTTCCGATAGAAGAGCCTGCAAGTTCAGAGACTTGCAGCCCACAGAGGATGGTATTGTTGCTCGTTTGACTTTCCCTCTGCTCTCTTTAGCATTTCTAAAGTAATCAAAGCTCCTCCACATCCTCAAACGGTGCCCCTCAGAAACTAAACAACAGTGTGGTAAAGAGGAAAGTCTGATCAACCTGAGTTAAAATCCCCATTGCACGGCCGGGTGCAGTGGCTTATGCCTATAATCCCAGCAGTTTGGGAGGCTGAGGTGGGTTGATTACCTGAGGTCAGGAGTTCGAAACCAGCCTGGCCAATGTGGCAAAACCCCATGTCTCCACTAAAAATACAAAAATTAGCTGGTGGTGGTGGGCGCCTGTAACCCCAGCTACTTGGGAGACTGAGGCATGAGAATCACTTGAACCTGGGATGCAGAGGTTCCAGCCAAGATTGCGCCACTGCACTCCAGCCTGGGTGACAGAGTGAGACTCCATATCAAAAAAATAATCCCTGTTGCACTACCTACTAGCTGTGAAACAATAAGCACTTTACTGAACTTCAGTTTCCTCACCTATAAAGTGGAAATAATGATATTACCTTAATTCACTAAGTTGTAAAGTTTAATAATAAATCACTTAATATAGTTATTATTAATAAATAATAAAGTTTAAGTAATAAGTAATGTGCTTAGGCTATTGCATAGCATATAACAGGCCCTTCTCCTCTTCCACTTTGGCCAAAGACATCTCTTCCTTTTTCTTGCACACTTCTTTACTTTCCTCTCCTGTCTCAAACTTATCAGTTACCCCAGGTTGGACACAGATTTTTTTTTTGTCCTCTAGATTCACATCTTGAGTGAATCCTCTCAGACTCATCTAGGTATAACAGGTAGATAATATTAACAGATACAGCTATGATCCCCTAAGTCCCTCTCCAGTTCCTGGAAGACAGCACCAACCTTCCCTGTCCCTGGGTTATCAGTCCAGGAGCCTCCCTATGCAGGATAGGGTGGGTAAGGTTAATTATCAGCTTGACTTAGCCTAAATGCTGCCCTGGTACTGCAGACAGAAGGATTGGATTTGTCAGGACATCAGAGAAATGATGACCCCTGCCTTCTTTTGCCGTCAGGCTATTTTCTGTCTCATGGGTCTTGTTTCTGTCTTTTGTAGGTCCTCGTACAAGCCATTAAGGAGGCAAAGGAGCAGCACCCAGACATGTCAGTGACCAAGGTGGTCGTCCACCAGGAGACCGAGATTGCTGAGGAGTGAGCTCAGGTACTGGGTGTTCCTGCTGGGGCTAAAGGTGCCCCCTGCCCCAGCCTGAGAGGGCTCTGGATGGGAGCCTTGGACACACTGGGAGCTTGTCCTCCCAAAGTGATGTCCACCCTGGGACTTGATAAAGGCAGAGGAGAGGCTGATGAGGGAGATATAGGAAATTATTAAGTATTTGGCTCCACCTAAAGCAGTCTGTAGCAGTGCCAGCAGTACTGGGTAAGGGGGGGGGGGACCCAAACTTGAATATAAGCCCCCAGCCACCACCTTAGTCCTCATGCACCCTGCTGCTTATCCACTTCACTTTCCCCTCTCTTCTCTCTACTGCCCTGCTCACTGCTGTCACAGGTCTCTCTTTTTTTTTTTTTTTTTTTTTTTTTTTTGAGACAGAGTCTTACTCTGTCGCCCAGGCTTGAGTGCAGTGGCATGATCTCAGCTCAGTGCAACCTCTGCCTCTCCGGTTCAAGCCATTCTTTTGCCTTTGCCTCCTGAGAAGCGGGGACTACAGGCATGTGTGCCACCACACCCAGCTAATTTTTGTATTTTTAGTAGAGATAGGCTTTCATCATGTTGGCTAGGTTGGTCTCAAACCCCTGACCTCAGGTGATCCACCCGCCTTGGCCTCCCAAAGTGCTGGGATTAGAGGCATGAGCCACTGTGCCCAGCCAGTCACAGGTATCTTTGAACCAGAACCTGGGAGAGCCAGAGGAGAACCAAACCAAGAAGAGCTGAGCACAGTGGCTCACACCTGTAATCCCAGCAATTTGGGAGGCCAAGGCGGGCAGATCGCTTGAGGTCAGGAGTTCGTGACCAGCCTGGCCAACATGGTGAAGCCCCATCTCTACTAAAAATAAAAAATTATCCAGGTTTGGTGGCATGTGCCTATAGTACCAGCTACTTGGAAGGCTGAGGCAGGTGAATTGCTTGAACCTGGGAGGCAGGACCAGGCTATCTGGAGATGGGTGGGTGTGCAGAGTAGGAAGGGAATGGCTGAAGTTCTGAGACCAGAGTAGAGAGCTGGGAGCAGGGAAGCTGCTTTTCGGGAGCCAGGGAGCCAGATAAATTCATGCCTAAAAGTAATTTACAAATGACTTGAAGAAGCCACCAATCTCAGTAGGTGGGCCGGGGCCCTGTAAAGATGCTCAGATCCCAGTTGTCACTGATGGCCACAGGAACTTGGCAGTGGGACTGGGAAGCTTTTTCCTTTACAGGATTTTAAATTTTGCTTCTTTGTTTTCTCTAGGAACTAAGCTACCCCAACTCTCTGCCCTTCTCCCATCCAAGAGAAACCAGCAAAGTGATAAAGAAGCTAACCTGCCATAGTCAAACTTCAGACTTTCAAGATTATTCTAAATCACCAGAAAATTAATTTCATTTTCTATTGGGAGTTTATACCAGGAGATTCTTCTGGATCTCATTGATCCTTTTGAAGATCTTTTTCTATATTAGGATATAAGAATTATTCAACTTTTCACTCTACAAACTGTTTTAAGAGTTTCTGGGTTTTTTTTAATTGGGTGGTTTGTAATGCCTGCAACCTAGCCTCTGCTCATTTTTTTCCAACCCCAACGCTGACAGGGTCCTTGGAAATCCTCCAAGGACCCTGTCAGCTGTGTTGAGGCCAAAGCCAGCTTAGTGGGACTTCCGTGTTCCTCCCTAGTCTTATGCCCTTTGGATGATGGCAGAAACTTCATGAACCAGCCCTTTCTCAGAGCCAGTGATGTGACTGTATCAGAATGCCAGGCAGGGCACCAGCGCTAATCCACAGACCTCGGAACAATACCCCTGTTCCTTTGCTGAGGGTAGTTTTGGTAAGGCAGAGCCCTCTGCTGAGAATGTAGTATTGTTTTTCTCTGTCTCTCCTGCTCTGTTCTTTTTGGAGCTTCTTTGGGTCAAAGACATAAGAAGTTGCTTCAGATATCTGATACTGTGAATGTTTGAACATATGCGTGGCCTTCACCTCTCCAGCTACCCTTTTACCTCATCAGAAGCAGTGGCTCAGCTAAGTGCTCCCCCCAGCTCCCATCTCAGGAGACCAAATCTCATGGAAAAATAAGCATTTTTGGCCAAAAGCTCTAATGGAACATTTTTAGTGGTGATTTGGGGAAGGAAAATTAATGAGGTTTTTAAAATAAGGTTTTCTAGTTTCGAGAGTGTGCACTTCACACAGGAGAATGAGGTTACCTCCGTCAGGTCCTGGGCCTTTCATCCCAAATGATAAGGAATGTGGATCAGAGACGAGGTTGTGGGTTTGTTTTTTTTTTCACCTTTCTTCTCCCAGCAGGCACCTGCCTGAGGACATCCTTCTAGAGCAAAGAACTGACTTTTAGGAGCCGTCCTCCCCACAAGCCACCACATGACAAGGGATACAAACACCAGCCCTGTTCACTCCCACTCACCATCTGAGGTCTGTCAGGGTTCGAAGGCTTGATTTTGTGGTGGGTTTGGGGCTTAGATTTCCTTTTTTGGGGTTTGGTTTTTGAAAATAAAGATGATGCCCTGATTCCTGGAAGGATTTGGGAGCATTTTTATTCAACAGAGCTTCTCTAACCTTCCAACTGCTTCCCACAAACACATTGGCATAGAGGCTCCTTAGAATCCCAGTGCTGGGCTAGAAGTGAACTTCCTATAGACAGTGGTTAATGGGCAGCAGTCACTGGGCCCAAGAAGAGTGAGAGAAATGTCTAAAGCTGCTTATTCCAACACCATCCAAAGTCTCCACTGCCTGAGTTTTGTTTCGGCTGGTTTGAACTCATTTTGGGTGTGTGCATTTTTCTTGTGGTACCTATGTGAGGAATGACCAACAGGAGGGAAACAAGAGCCCAGGTGGGCCGTGTGACAGGCTTGGGGGGAAAGAGCTTGTCCTACCTCAGGAACAAACTTACAGGCTGTGTCTGAAAGGTGGGGCCTTGGGGTGGTGCCTAAGCCTGGCCATGTTGCCAGGAGTGGTAGCAAGTGAGAAATGCAGCTTACATCAAACAAACATGTAGTGTGTGCCCACTGCCTGATGGATAGGTGTCCTGCGGAAAGAGCTCCCAGGGCTCCCGGACCTGTGGAACAAATAGGATGGTGAAAAGGCAAAGGGCACTGAGTATCCCTTTAAAAACTTAACACACTGAATATTCCATGTGATCCAGATCAGTGTGGCAGTGGCCTAAATGTTTCCTTCAGCTCTGTCACCAGTTCACTTCTCCCAGCTTCCTTGTCTGTAAATTGGACCAGAAGAACTCTGATGCCTTTCAAGCTCTGAGAAGCCATAGATTTGGACAAGCCCAGCAAGATGGGTGTCCTTCCAGGCCTCTTCCCCTTTCCTTCATCTCTGGCAACAGATCTTGGGGTTTGGCAATTGTTTGGATTTTTTTTCTTTCTGCAATTGTGTGTATGTATGTTTGTGTGAAGAAAAACAGACTCTGTCCAGGTAGAAATGGTGAAGAGGGGAAAGAGAATTACATTTCCAGGGTCAGAAACTTGGCAACAGTTTTTCCTAAAGTGACTCAGACACCACAGTAACAATGCTCACAACAGTTTTTTCTAAAGTGACTCAGACACCACAGTAACAATGCTCGCTGCAGTTTTATTTTCACTTGAGAAATAAAGATTTCCTCCAAGCTACATGAGGACTCTGGCACCCACCCACAAAGCAAGACCTGTATTTATAAGCTGAGGGCTCAGGGAGCCTAACTGCAGGAACTGTCAGGGCACTGCGACCCGTGCCCCCCTCCAGGCCCATCACTGGGCGTTGGGGGGATGTTTGGCAGCTGGGGGTAAGGAGACAACAGACCTCCGGAAGTAGAGCCAGAGCTATGGCCTGACTGAAGCCCCTTGATGTGCACGGGAAATTTCTGCCCAGGATCTCAGCCCCAGGCTGGTTGTTTTTACAAATCTCTCTCAAATTATTATTTTGGTGACAAAATGAAGGAGCTTTGTAAATTTTTTTAAAATTTTGAATCGTATCAAGTAGTTGTTTACATTTCTTGAAAAAAATAGGAACTCTGGCAGCAGAATCAGATTGGCAGAATCCTTAGACTAAACACGCAATAATCAAGTCTGCTGTTTCGGCCTTTTTTAGGAGAAGTGGTTGTAGTGTTTAGAAATGTTTGGTCTTGCTTCTTGTATTGCATTTTTTTTTTCAATAAACAACAACAAAAAGAACTGTCTCTTTGAGGATTGATCCACTTTTAAATTTCTCTTCTACCAGCAACTTGGGAAAAATTAAATATGGGTGGGAGAGACCTAAACCCAAGCCATTTTCTAAAGTAAGTTACCCACATTGGCCAAAGTGCAGCTTCAATGTTGGGTAAAGGCATTTCTGAGAACTGGCCAATGCCTTTTGCCAACTGGAGGGAGATTTTGCAGCATAGGCCACGGTAAAGGAGAGAAGGGGCTTCTCAGGCTTTTTTGCAGAGGGGCCAGACCTCAATATGAAGGCATTGGCAGTAGTGTAGCTCTAGAGGGATATACCCCACATGGCTGAGGGAAGAAAGAGATTGGGGTGGTGAGAGTTCAAGGCTCAGTCCCCATCCCAGGTGGCAGTGGAGAGCCTCACCACCATGGCCCATCTTCCCAGAGGTCCCAACTCCATCAGCAGTGCTGCCTTGGAAGGAGCCTGGTCCGGCCTGTAACATCCCAACCTGCCTCCCAGTCTTAGGGGCCCTTGCCCATCCCTTTTCTTGGGTTTGCCAAGACACCGGGTATGTCTCCCTGTCACCTTGGCCTGGAACTCCAGTGCCCTCAGGTCTAAGGCCACTTACAGAGGCTGACAAATTCCTGAGGCGAATCCTCCACACTCCACAGTGAAATGCACCCTCTCCAGCTCACTGAGCCCTAGTGCAGCTGGCATTTCTCTGCCCACATGCAGGTTGGGATGCCATCCCCAGCCTGGGATGTGAATGAAACATCTAGACGCTGGGACTCCCCGTCCTCTGGTCCTATTAGCATGGTCAATGCTGCAGCCTCAGAGCAGGCTGTCTCCCCTCTCTTCAGACCCGGGCCCCCAAATCCCTTCCTCCTCCTCCACCTCCTCCTCCCAATTTGGCATAACCCCCAAGACTGAGGCGGTCCAGCCGTGGCCAGCTTCGGTGAGCACAGTCCCGAGCTGCTGGGGCCCCAAGGAGGAGCTCCCCAAGGCCCAGATCCAGAGACTTGGAATGTTCAATGCAGGAGCCAGAGGGCTGCACGGTGATGATCACATGGCCAGTCTGCGTCCGTGGACCCCAGGGTGGGGACAGCCCGGGGCCCTTCAGTGGGTAGCTGTTGAGAAGGGCAGGTAACCCCAAGCGAGGATTAGCAGGCTCTGAACGCAGACTCCGCACTGAAGGGACAGGTGAGGCACCCCGACGCGGGGACGGGTCCCAGATTTCTGGCTCTGCGCAGCCTACGGCTCGGGGAGTCCTAGGGCCGGGGCTGGGAAGGAGAGCGCAGTCCCAGCCGGGGCCGTCGAGGGGCCGAAGCGCCTGGGCCCTCAGCACCCCCTGGCGAAGCAGTCTCGTCTCCAAGTCTCGGTTCTCATAGAGCAGCGTGTTGGCACAGATGAACACGAACAGACCGACGCCCATGATCACTGGCCCGAGGAGCCGCAGCCGCTCGTGCGGGCCGTGAGCCCGGCCCCCGCCGCGACCCTCGCGTCGCATCTCGCTCAGCGGGGGCGAGCTAGCATTGGCGGCCCGGGACCCCGGGGCTGCGGCCCGGTGCGGCCAGTAGCCCGCCACTGCGATGCCCATACCCACCAGTACCACGAGCGCCCCCAGCGCCGCGAACGCCCCCGACGGCGAGCGCAGCCGCAGCCGCGCCCGCACCCGCAGAGGCTCGGGCGGGGAGCGCGGGCGCCGGCGGCGGCCCAGGCGGCGGCCCAGGCGAGAGACGCGGCCCTCTGGGCTCCTCCGCACCTCCCCGCAGTCTCCGGGGCTCCCGGCTGTCATTTCGCCGTCGTCTGGGCGCTCTGAGGAGAGAAGATGGGAGGCAATGACTGGACCGACGGACCTCTAGGTTCGGGGCGCCAGATTCCGGTCGCAAATCCGAGAGGGAAGCTCCAGCCGCCCAGCCCAGGCCGCTTGGAGATCCCTGGCGGCCACCCCCGGATTTTCCCGGGCGGCGAGGCGGGGAACCGCCCCCGCTCGGGTTTTCCGCAGCGGAGCTACGAGCCAGGGACGCGCGGCAGAAGCCGGAGTTGGCCCGGCCCGCGGGCGGAGAGGAGGGAGGGGGGCGCAGGCTGCTCCTTGGTGCATCCCGGGCTGCGAGGCTCCCGCCACCTGCGTACTGTTCCCAAGCCAGCGGGTCTCTGGCCACGGGAAACGTGCAGCCCCCGGCAGCCGAGTCTCCAGGGTAAGTACCTCCCCGGCTCGACCCCACCCCCGCACGTGGCTGCACCGTAGCAAAGGGGGCGGGAGCGCTCGGGCCTCCAGGGTCCGCCGGGGTTGCTCGCCGGGTCCCACCTCCCCCCTACTGCGTTTTACAAACCGCAGCGTGGGAGGAGGGGGCGTCACCAGCTCCACCCTCTCCCTGCCCACCCCCTCCTTCCAGACCTCCTCCGTCAGCACCGAAGCTGCAGCAGGAGCGACTTGAGCTAGACACCCGGAAGACCACTCGGACCAAGAGCATCCAGGCAGAGGAGGAGACGCGGCGCCCGACTTTGCCCAAGATTTCCATCAACTCCGCGCAAGAGAGGCCTCTCCCTCCCCAGCGGTCGGGCTGGGGCCACGGCAGGAGACAGGGAGGGGTGCCAGTGCCGGTGCCGGGCGCTGGGCCCCGCCGGACAGATGCCCTCCCGGCTTCCCCGTCGGCCCGGGCCCGGGCAAGGCTGTTCCCAGGTTGCGGCGTTTCCAATTCGGGTTCCTCCAGATGAATCATCCCCCTTTCCCGCCGCCTGGCCTCCTTTCCGGCCTCCTCCGCCCAAGGCCTCCGTGGCCCACGTCCCGGCCAGAGCAGCACCCGCCCCACAGCTTAAGCCCTCCCGATTGCTGGCTGCTCCATGCCTGCGGCCTGTGGCCTGGATCCCGGCCCCAGCAGGAGTGGCCGAGCTGCGTGCGGTGTGACCCCCACGAAAGGGAGGGCTGGGGAGGAGACGCGGCCCCCTCCCAGGCTCCCCGGGCCGCAGGAGAGGAGGCTCAGGGCCTGGCTGTCCAGCGTCGTCCTCACTGCCCGCATCCGCTTCCTGAAGAGCCACCGCGCTGGAGCCCATAGCCGAAGCCTAGGGGAGGCGGCCTTGCTCCCCCACCCACGCCCCATCTGCACCCCGAAGCTCAAAGCAGGACACCCATCCCTGCCTCCGACTGGAGTGCTCAAGGCACGGGCCTAGCAGGGAGTCGCAGCTCTCCCGCGTCCAAATCCTGGTTTCACAGATTGCAACTGCGCCCAGGGAGGCCGGAGAGCGTGCCCGACCCCGCACTAGGCTGGGGCTCTGCCAGGTCTGACGCCGGGCTCCGGGCCCCAGCTCTGGGCCCCTCTCAGGACAGCCACGGGAGCGTCCGGGAAGAAGCGAGGCCCATCCCCTCCTTGTCCCTGAGTTTGCAGCCCTTTCTCCAGCCCGCAACCGGAGGAGGGACCACCGCTTCAAGCCAGAGCTGGCGCCCCCAGCCCCGGCTCCAGCAAGGTCACCCGGACCCCCGCGCGTCGCTGCCGCGAGGGAGGCAAAAATAGAGCGGGGACATGGGGAACACTCTCAGAGACCCCGAGCCGTGGAGGGAGTGGGCAGACGCTGGGGACCCCAGGGGAGGCGGAAACTTGGGGACACAGCGCACGACCCGACGGAAGCTACTGGGGCCGAGTCCCCTGGACTTCGGGATCCCGCCACCGCCCGCGTCCACACTCCAGCCCGGGGGAACCGGAGGGCCGCGCTCCCGTACCCAGGGGCCCTGGCCGAGGGAGGGAACAAATGAAAAGTTAGGAAAAGTGGAGCGCGGACCCCTGAACCCCAGCTCGGCTCACCTGGCGCCGCGGCGCCGCGCGGGTCCGGGTCGACAGTCCGCGCGCCTAGGCTCCGGAGCCGCCCGGGTCTCCACGGGCCGGCCCCGCCCCCGCCCCGCCCCGGCCCCGCCCTCAGCCCCTGGGACCGTCGGACACGCGCGGGGCCTGGCCCCACCGCCAGTGAAAGGCGGCAGCTTAGGTTGGAGGGTCGCAGGTGGGCGTCGTGAGCGCGCCTGGTGACTCCGGGCACCCGGGGCCCCAGTCCTGCAGTCCCCACTCTCCCACTCGCAGCTTACATCGGTAGCAAAGGCCCAGAAGAGCGCCCCGTTCCCACATGGGGGAAACTGAGACCGGGACACAGGAGCCCCGACACCCGCACATTGTCCCCCGCCTCCCGGAGCTCCTCATTCCAGGCGCCCGGGGAACTTCCCGGAGGAGGCGGCCCGAGTCCCTGCTCCGCCCCAGCCCTGCAGCCCTTTCTGTCGCTGGACCTTGCGGACTTCATCTGTGCAATGGGTACGGCGGTGTCAGCCTCGCAAGATACCGAGAGGCAACAGCCAGACGCTAAGGGCCAGCCCCGGGCGACCCCACGAGCCCCCAGCGAAAGCAGTGCCCGGAACGGGGAGGGTCTCGTAGCTGAGCGGCCCGGACGGGGTGCGGCGGTCCCGCCGGGCCCCCCTAAGAACAGGCGCCCCTGCGCCAGTGGTGAAGCGGCCTTGTCCCCAGTAACTGGGAGGGTGCCGAGAGCTGCGACCCGGCCGACGGGCCCGTAGGGGGCGGCCCGGCCTCCCAGCCCTCCCGCCCCTGGAGGCAGGAATGCAGAGCGGGGGAGCCGGGGCGGCCGGCGGGAGGCCCAGTTTCCATGATGCGGGGGGCGGGCTCGGGGGAGGCGGGGATGGGCGATTTCCAGGCTCTGCGGCCAGGCCGGGGCCCCCGGGAGGAATTTCCGGCCTAGGATTGATTAGGGCCCGCCCCTCCCCCCGGCCGCGGAGACCCCCGGCGCGCGGCCGGGAGGAGGGGCGCTAATGAGACCCGGCTGCGCGCCGCGGGCGGGGAAGGGACCCGTGGAAAGGGGCGGGCCGGGGACACCCCCCGACGAGGGGCGGAGCTGGGTCCAGGAGCCTCAAGGCCGCGCCAGGCCTTGAACCCGTGCTCCTGTCCTCTGGCTCGGCGGAGGAGACTGGGGGTGCATTAGCGCCCCAAAACCTCTCTCCCAGCTCTCCGAGGCCAAGCCTCCTTGGGATACACCT